CCTGAGACATTAAGAGTGTAAATGTCTCAAATTGACACTGCAGTGCATCTTAGTGCCTCAGAGATAGTACTTTACGTTTTGTACTTTAAGTACTCCCTTTATCGTATGTGTAGTAGGCTTTTCTATTTTAAGTTTTTACTTAAACGTATTTGAAAAGTCAGTTACAAGCACAGCTGTTAAACAAATGCAGTGGTGTGAAACGGCTTTGTTTCCCTCTTAGATAAATATAAAGAAACAATGAAAAATGATAAAGTAAATACCAAAGTGGTTCAAAGTTGCAGGTTACCTTAAGTATTACAATTAAAACTACCACTTAAGTCCAGGGAAGTTTTAGTTCTTTGTTATTATAAACAGTATGTGTAAACAGGAACAACTTTACTAAGGTGGTCCTACAGAAATACATGTCTTTATCAGTATTATTGTTGTTAAGGGTAATGCAGACTACTTAATGAATGTTTATGTATATTATTGTTAGGACATGTATCCACGTGGTGTGTGTTTGTGTGTGTACCTCTCACACTTCCTCACACAGTCAGGGCATTGATGAAAGTTGCTCTCTCCTGTTGTGTGTGTGTTGCGGCTCAGTCTAAATGCAGATGAGGACGCTGTTTTTTCGGATCGTCATCATGTGTATATCTGATCCGTGGCTGCCATGTTGAAGCAGTCATTGGATATCAGGTTGTTCCCAGTGAAGGAGTCAAGTCTTCACGGGTTCAGCTTCTCCTTCCTCTCCTTCCTCTCCTGCTCTTCACCTCCTCTGTTTCTCTGCAGCAGTTTCTCAACAGTTTTCCACCATGAGAAACATCCCGGGCTGCGTTCAAGCCGCATGACACACCTGGGCACCGACTAAGTGCTGGGAGCCTCCACACCTGCGGCCATGGTGCGTTCACTGACGCTGTGTTTGTTGGCGCTTTTTCAGCTCGGTCATGCCAGAGTCTACACCAACGACTGGGCAATTAGAATAAGAGGAGACTTTCATTATGTGAACAGAACTGCAGAGAAATATGGATTCACCAACATGGGTCAGGTACGTGTGATCCCCCCCCCCCCACACACACACACACGCACA